CTCCATGCTTATTTAGGAAACAAAAAACATACAGTAAAAGTCAATGAGGCATTTCAATTAATATCGCCTTTGTGTTGTCGCGAACCCCTTGCGAACTCAAATATGCATAACAACACAAATGCAAACGCTGCTTCTATAATAGCACTGACCTTTACAACTCCTCTCAGATGTAACTTGGTAATATTTCTTCGAATATCTCTTTCAGAATGGGATTTTCTTTCCGTGTAGAAGCTGTAAAGATTTCTAAAACGTTGATAAATCGACTTGCCTTTGCAAAGGAAACGCAGAGCGGAGCCGCCTTTGCAACGGTTACTACCGAAAAGCCTCGCTTTGTGCGATTGTCGCCATATTTGAGGTGATGCGATGATTGAATGTTACTGATGAGAAAAAGATACCTTCTGAGTCCAAAGCTTCATTTTTATTGCATTAAAGCGTGGGTTTTATGAAAGTAACACTTCTTTGTCAAGTGCCCCGCAAACAGAAACGTGCTCGCTTCATTGAAAACAACAGACAAGCGCTCTTTCGAAACTAGAAAGTCTCACCTCCTTTATAAAGTGCTGCGCGCTCGACTGAAAACAGCTGAGTCAAAATCAGGACGCTCCGCGAAAACTAAAAATAGAGAATTTCGAGACAGAATAACTTGTAGGACGATTGCCTGGTTTCAGAGAAAGATTTATACGTACAAAAACAGAAATTCGGTTGCACATTCTTCACTTTCCCTAAGTACCGCGCGTTCGACTTAATTAGACTGTGAGCAGTCTCTTTCTTTTCCTAGCGTCTCTAGCTTTGGCTTTATGCCTTTCGATTTCTCGCCGAATGATCGGGCGCTTCACAGGTAGCAGTTTGGTTTACAGTCTTTTTACTCTCATCTCACTCGATGACGTGTAATTTGCATCGCTATGAGAACCACATTACAAGCCTATAAATTGCGAAAGCTTGGATTGAAAATCTATTAATTCTGCTGTGANCAAAAAACATACAGTAAAAGTCAATGAGGCATTTCAATAAACATCGCCATTGTGTTGTCGCCGCGAACTCAAATATGCATAACAATACAAATGCAAACGCTGCTTTTATAATAGCACTGACCTTTACAACTCCTCTCAGATGTAACTTGGTAATATTTCTTCGAATATCTCTTTCATAATGGGATTTTCTTTCCGTGTAGAAGCTGTAAAGATTTCTAAAACGTTTATAAATCGACTCGCCTTTGCAAAGAAAACACAGAGCTGAGCCGCCTTAGCAACGGTTACCACCGAAAAGCCTCGCTTTGGTGCGATTGTCGCCATATTTGCAATCGGAGTATATGTGTACTTAAAAAGTCTGTAGTCTGCGGGCTGCATTTTACCCTCAGACTCCATTTTACCCTCAGACTCCATTTTACCCTCAGTCTGCATTTTACCCCTGGTCTATACTCAGCAGTCTGCGTTTTACACTGATCGACTGAAAAACACATCAAACCAACATGGATATGTAAGAGTTGACATCATGAGTGGCCACAAAAGACTCTGCCCAAGGGCCAAAAAAAATGAGAACGTTCAAAAGTTAATGCAATGAAGAGAGAAGGTTCGTATCTAGTAACAGTACAATGTACAAACGTTGCACCTTATTAACACTTACTCGGAAACGATCAATGAACTAATGAGGTCATTTTCCACACAGTACGTGAAAAATTATATGGCCTTTAACCAAGATTCTTGAAGGCAACGCTAGAAGCTCGCTAGCTACTCGGGTAGCTAGTGTTGTTTCGTATATTAAACATAAACCGGTGTAACATTTGCAGTCTACATATATTTGCAGATTTTTTTAACAAGTCCTATTCCATTTCCATTATCAGCTATAATCGAGAGCTAACTGTAACCAGGCAAACCTGAGCGCTATTTCGGCCTAAAATATCTGAAGTCCGAAGTCTGCAAAAACGCGGAATTAAACGACCCGAAGGGTTGCAAATTATCCAGCTCATCCAAATGACCTCACAGGGTTTTACCACACGTAACATTGACCAAGGGTTTATTAAGTAAGTCTTCAACTTACATAGCTTCATGGACTTGATTTCCTTGGCGTTGGAGGAGTCCATTTTACGAATTTTTACACAGCGAACGGCTCTTCCACGTTCTCAATCCGGTCTAAGAACTTTGTACCCAACCTCTTTCTCCCAGTGTCTCTCTTCTCAGGCGCCCGCCCGTGGGGAGCCCTGTGGGGCCATTGTGTTTTTTGTGGTGGCCATTTTCAATTTTAAATAGGCGTTCAGTTAGTGCGAGGTCTGCGACGGAGGCCTCTGTATCAAGAAGAGTTTGCAAGATTTCTTTGCAGAGAGGAACTTAATAAAGTATTAAGCCATTCATGTTCTCACCTGCTGTCT